CGCCCCCCGGAAAGAGGAAGGGACCGGCCGCGGCCTGGGGATTCGAGGAAACTCTGGGTACCGTGCTTATCGCTCGAGGACCCGCTAGCGCTGAGGCAGCCCACGCCGCGGGACCACGCCCGGAGCCGATCGACGCTCTCCATGGCAACCGGAGCGTGGCAACGACACCGCCCCCCTCGGGCGTGACGGGCGTGTGCGTCACAGCGGCGCGCCGGAAGTGACTGCAGTGGTCGCCAGAGACCCCGGAAGTTGACGCGGCGAGCCATAGCTGCTGAGTGACTCCCGGCTAGCGATGGGTTGCGACGGGGGAACGATCCCCAAGAGGCACGAACTGGTGAAGGGGCCCAAGAAAGTTGAGAAGGTCAGTGGCGTGGGCCTGGTGGGGACTGGGGGGGGTGGGGCCCCAGAGAGCAAGGGGAGATGGGGGGGTGGAGCCAGCGGGCTTCCAGACGCAGTTGCGCTCCTTTACCCCGTTCGGAAGACTCAAAATTAACAACAGTATTAATAACGGACCTTGATTGAGTGGTTGCTGTTGCCATTCACCCGGAAGTACCCTTAATATTGGGTGTCTCATGCAGTCCTCACATCGGTACACGCTGATGTTCCTCGCTTTTCAGACATGGAAGTTGAGGGTGATGAGAAAGTTGTGACGTCACGCTAGTAAGCAGCAGAACCAGAATTAGAAGCTTACCTGCCGTTACGACCAGTAATGCAGAATGACTGCTGGTTATCGAGCTTTGTAGACGCGAACAACGTTTTCTCGGGGAAGTCTGCCCAAAACGTCCCCTTAGTCCCCACGAGAGCAGGCCCTTCTCCTACATCTCTGTACCCTGCGTCCCTGGTTGATTAATGTCGGTCTGAGGGACAGTAAGCTCCTGGTGGCAGTCTGTGCCTCTTTCCCCTCTACAGCTCCCACAGTAAATACAGTACAGTGAGTACATGCACGCGTGAATAATTCCTAATTCTCACAGGTAATTTATAAAGTTACATAATGATAACTTCCATGCTGTTGACTGGGGACTTGAGTCAGTAACATGACCAAGATCTCACAACCCGTAGGCAATAAAACAAGATTCCCATACATTGATTCAGGATTTTAAAGGTAGCACTAGTAATTGCTTTTAATTTTTTTTAGATTTTATTGGAGAATTGGGGGAGGGGAACAGCCAAGTTGTTGGCCTTCAATCTTAGTTGTGGAGGGCGCAGCTAGCTCAGCTCCAAGTCCAGTCGCCATCTGGCTGGTGGTCGGCAGCTCGTGGCTGCTCAGCTCAAGGTGCCGTGTTCAGTCTTAGTTGCAGGGGGCAGCCCACCATCTCATGCGTGAGTTGAACCGGCAGCCTTGTTGTTAGGAGCACGTGCTCTCACCAGCTGAGCCATCCTGCCACCTGTTGGCAGCTCAGCTCGGGTGCAGCTCACTGGCCCATGTGGGAATCGAACCGGCGACCCTGTTGCTCAGAGCTCGTGCTCTTAACCAACTAAGTGACTTGGCTGGCTTCAGTAATTACTTTTTAATAATAGAAAGCATGTAAGGCACCTAATACTGTATTTCGCTGGTAGCAGGTCTCTCAGCACTCCACTATAGCATACATTTTGATAAAAGCTATTTAAGCTGCCGACGTTTGGCTTTGAATCTGGGGAATCGATAGAATAACAGTAGTGTGGTTTTGTCTTTGTTTTGTTCAAAATAATAGTAGTGATTAACAGCATGGTTTCTAGAGCCAGCCTGCTATTCTCCTAGCTTCTTCATCTACTTGCTTTGCAACCTTAGACATGTAACCTAACCTCCTGGTGCCTCACTTTCCTCAACAACAAATGTAAAAATACTGAGTAATAGGGTTTTTAAGAGGGCTAAAAGCTTAAGTGACAGAAACTGCTTAGCATAGTGCCTGGCACGCAGCAAACACTTAAGCAACTGTTGCTGCAAAAAATAAATTTAAGGAAATTTTTTCTTTTATTTATTTTTTTCTATGTCTTTTTTCTCCCAAATGTGCCATCATGTTACATTATTCAGATTTGGCATTTTAGGAGGGGACTAGAGTGGGACATGGAATGTTATATAGGTAAAAATATAATTTGAAGGTTATGGAAGGTCTTACATCTGGATTTTCATACTGTGGATAAGGGTTTGATGTGCCGCTTAGTAAATAGTTTGCCAAAAAAACACTTCTGTTAAAATTGATGATTTTATAAAGAATTATATAGTCTTTGTGCTGACCTTTTTTTTAAAAAAGCCTATCTTCTCAATTCTTAGTCCTTAAATTCTGCTAAAACTTTGGAGCCTTTCCCATTGTTAGAAATTAACCTATACTGCTTTTTTTTTCTATATGGCTTTCCTAACTTACAGTTAAGATACAAATAATAATATTTATATAGAGCTTGCATAAGCAATTTGATAACTTGATGTAAACTGTTTTGTCATAGGTGTCATGTTTAGAGGGAACTTTATTTGACATAATATTGCTTACTTGGACTTTTTAAATCCCAGCTTTTTGTGTTATTATCTTTGATTTTTTTAAAAAAATTATATTATCGAATAAGCCTCTTTTTGTAGAATTGTGGACCATATGTCTTTCAGAGGTGAAAATTAATTGGAAGAATTTTTTTTCTCAGGTTGATAAAGATGCTGAACTGGTGGCCCAATGGAACTATTGTGCTTTAAGTCAAGAAATATTAAGACGCCCAATAGTTGCCTGTGAACTTGGCAGGTATGGTTCCTTTACTTAATTGAGATGAATTTTTATGAAGTGATTTTTAAAAGAATTTTAACTTGTAAGTGCAGTTCTTGATTCATCAAATGTGAATTATCTCAAGCAAATTTGTGAAGCCTAGGTTATCATTCCCTGTCTCTGAACATAATTCTACACTTTCCTATTTGGTTTGGTTTATTTAATCTATGGGCTGAAAACGCAGGGGTTAACAGGCGTTAAGTTATAAGCATAAATGCATGAAGGAGCCATGCAGGGTCAGTAGGGAATGGTGGGGACTGGGGGAACTGGCGAGTTCATGTCCTGTCTAAAGGGATAGCTGCTACTCACTTCTAGCCAGTTGTTGAAGTTCAAAAATGTGGGGCCCTAGTGATGCCAGTTCTGACTTCTTTTTTTTTAAGGAAAAGTTGAAAATGTTTAGTTTTGTCTTAAATTTCCTTATTTTAAAATCCTTGTTAAGGTTACATTCAGCCCTCAGGCTGCCAGGTTGCAACCCTTGATTTAAACTAGTTTCTTTGTATGATCTGAAATAGTTGAGAGACGACTACTTTTACTTTTTTAGTAAGGTCAGGCATTTCTGTTACCAGATGTTGATGACCTTGGATTGTCCTTAATTTAGTCTTCCTCCTTTGTGTGAAGGGTGGTTGTTGCCAGAATGTTTTGACTCATCCTTATTGTTACAGACTTTATAACAAAGATGCCGTCATTGAGTTTCTGTTGGACAAATCTTCTGGAAAGGCTTTGGGGAAGGCAGCCGCTCACATTAAAAGCATCAAGGTAAGACAGGTAATTCTGAAGTGCTCCGAGAGGCTCAGTGGTTAAAGTTTATTTTATAGAATTCATGTATATTATAGACCGAACGCAGATGGTTGGAATTCCAGTCCCGCCCGGCCAGCTCGTAAAGGTGTGATTTGGGGCAGGTCACCTAGAGCTCAGCCAGAGGGCCCCACACCTGCACTTCCTGCATTAATAATCTGTTAGGACTTAAAATGTGTGAAGGAGCTTTGAAAACTCTTAACGCAATGTTGGGAGGCATTATTTTTGTAGTTAAAACTCAGCTACTTGAATTTTTGATTTGGAAGACACTTTTAGAGAATTTTATAGGTAGATCACTGATAAAGCATTGTGGTTATCTCCTACTGACTAGAAGTTCTGATTGGCCGTTGACATTCTTTCATAAAAGTGGAAAAACAGGTTTTGTAGTTAGGGACGTTTGTTGAAAGAACAGAATCTTTCCAATTTGGTCAATGGGAGAAAAATCAGAAAAATAGTGAAGAATATGAGAACCATCAAGCTTGTCAAACGCGTCACCTCATGCTCCCCCGGAGATAACGCCTTGAGGCCATTGGGCTAGTTAGTGAGGCTTCCCCCAGAACCAGAGCCCCTGACTCCCAGTCTAAGGCTTTGGGTTTTTAAATTTTTTTTCTTTCCCTTCTCTTTTAAATTTTTTATTATTATATTAGGCTTTTTGTTTGAATTCTTGGAGTGATCACAGAATATAGGATATGTTCATATCAGGCAAATTAATTCTGAAGAGTAGCTAATGGTAGTCCTGTACAAATAACTGTATTTATTTTTGTCATCTTTTACCTTGGGAAGAGACTCCATTCCTGAAAAACCCACGGTAGTATAATTATCTTCCCTCAAAAATGTGATTATCATTGAATTTTATTTATATGGTTCTGCACTTAAAACTTACAGTATTCAGTGTACTGTAGGTGGTTGAACTTTTCAGTTTAATGACCCCCCCCCAAAAAAAATAAACCTTCCATGAAAACAAAAGGATTCAAATAAAGCACTGCAAATATATGGGCTTATCATTACTGTCAGTTACTAGTCCACAAATGCTCTGAGCAGAGAACTTGATGAGACACGTCCCAGCTGGCTTACCTCTGCGGTACTCAGCTGCTCTCCAGAACGGTGTGGTTAACTCGGAAGCAATGCCTCACATGCTGAAGTGGGGCTACATCACTCCTGGTAAAGTTGGATTTTTGAAAACCTGAACGGCTGGATCTTGAAATATGATAGTATTCTCTGGCGAATATTCTGCCTTTTACTCATTCGACCATGGCCTCAGATTTTACTGTCAGTTCAACTGTTAAATAGACATGGATGGTCAGTAACATGGAGGAAGGAACCTCTGAGGATTCAGCAGCAGGGAGAGAAAGTGTCCCTTTCCGGATGAAACTAATATAACGCTTTCTCTTAGTGGAGTAATTTTTCATGTCAGAACTTAGTTTTCCTTAAATAGAAAAGTATTTGTAAAATAGAAATTATTTATTTACTAGTCAGTGGATTTTAAAAATCTTGTTTTCTATCACAATTGATGGTTTCATTTTATGTCCATGTTAATTGGTGGTCAAAGGCAAGTAGCTAGGACGAAGAGGTTTGGGATGGAAAAGCACCAGAGTAACGACTCCTCTGTCGACTTAGGTGGTTATTAAGGATAAGAATGATGCATTTATCAAACGATTTCTTAAAATGCTGATGGTTTTTCACAGAATGTGACAGAACTGAGGCTTTCTGATAATCCCGCCTGGGAAGGGGATAAAGGAAACACAAAAGGCGACAAACACGATGACCTCCAGCGAGCACGTTTCATCTGTCCTGTCGTGGGCTTGGAGATGAATGGCCGACACAGGTCAGTCTGGTGGGATAGTCCTGGTACTGTGAGACTTGCTCCACCGCATAACGATGACACGGACTTCCTTCAGGCGTCCTTCGGTTTGGATAGGGGCTTAGAGGCAGCAGTGCTCAGGACAAGACCACGTTCACGGCCTGTCAGCCACTTGTAAGGTGGCGTCCCAGTCCCCTCAGCTTTGCTGTCGTCCTTACGTACTTGAGCTAGGAGAACCTGAAGAAAAGGGGGGTTTTAAAGATTTCTCATGTAGCACTTATGAGACTTGAGTTGGACTGTTTGATCTTCTCCTGTGAGAAAGAAAACAAAGGGCAAGTGTTTCCTGTCTCCCAAACCCCATTTCCTTCTAATTGGTGAAAAGTCCGCCATAGAGAACTGTGTTACAGAATGTGTGGTTGGTCAGTCAACCAGAGGCCCAGCTGATAATGACAACTCGCTTTGAGTATGTCACTAACAGGTCCTCTGGCGAGAGCTCCGGAAACCTGGAGGTTGAGGTTTATACAGCAAATGCAAGTGACCTGTTTCTCCCTTCAAAAATATGAATGTTGAATGGGTTAGTAGTTGTCTATTTATAGGGTGTTTCACGAAGCCAAAGCTTTAAACTCTTTTCCCACCATTTAGAAATACCTTTAATAGTTGGTAGTCCAGATAGTCATCTAGAATCTTCATCTAACACATTACATGTTGGAAGGCAGTAATTTTTACTATTTTCAATCAGGAAAGTGTGGGGATAGCATCTTAAGTAAGTAAAAACGTTTATTGAGCTATAAACAACCACAGTTAATTGGGAGTACTCTGGCACATTTGTGTATATTCACTTGCATCGGCGTGATGTACGTGACAAAATACACCAGAGAGACTAACCACTGTGCTCTGAAATGGAATCACCTATGGCTTTATGGATTTCGGGGGAAGTAAAGTTGAGGCCCAACTATCTCCCGCTTTTAAAGATGATATTCTTCTTCAAATAATCTGAATTTAAATCATTTATGCCTCTCTCTTAAACTTGACCGTTTAGTGGTAATTATGTGAGGCAGTGGATATGTTATTTAGCTAGACTGTGATCATTTCACCGTGTGTACATATATAAAATCAAGTTGTACACCTTAAATATACAATTCCTATTCATCAATTATATCTAAGTAAAGCTGAAAAAAGAAAAATAAATAATAAAATAAAAGGCTAAAGTTCACCATTTCAGCCAAGCAAGAAATATTATGGGGAGCCAGAATCTTGGACCTAATCCCCCCTCACCTGGGCCCCTGGCACCTGCCAATATGCTTTCTGTCTCAACGGATTTACCTTTTCTGGATATTTTATATAAATAGAAGCATCCAGTACGTAACCTTTTGTGTCTGACTTCCCACTTCTTTTTAAGAAAACCATGGTTCACCCCAAAAGAGGAATTTAGCAGAAACAAACTCATTTCCGGGGTCCTGGGTGGAAGTTACCTACAGACCGTTGCTCTGATGGTGGCTTCCCCTAGTTTTTCCCCTTTCATTTGCTCCCCCCTCCCCCTTCCCAGCTAATTGGAGTCGGCCTCTTGTTGCCTTGCTCTTCTATTAACAGGACCTTCGCACTAGAGAATTGATCCGTTTATATATTTAGTAAAGTTGGTATAATAAAGATTTAAATATATGGAAAAATAAAAGTTAACTCCTAGTGTCATGAAAACATCCAACCTTTATTTCGAGAAAAACATAATTTCCTAAATTACTAATAATTAGTAAGTATCCATAAAATAGGATTTTTTTTTTGGGGGGGGAGGATCCTAAATAGCATTTAATGAATTTAATACAATGTTAATAATTAGGGTTTTGTTAGGGCCATCTACAGCTGCTGTAATCCCTAGGGAATTGGAGAACCCTCCTATCATGGCATTTTTAGAGGAATTTAAAATGTGAAAAGTGCTTTTTGCCCCTTCCCTCCAATCCCAGCCTCCGGTAGTAACATTATTAATGGTTCGCTGTTTAATGCCCCCCCACAGATCCTTCCAACACCAACACACACACCACACTTCCTCTACCTCTGCAAGTAGACATATAAATAAACGTGTATTCTTCCCACAGCCATGGAGTCATGTTATACATATTTTGTAACTTCTGGTTTTTTTCCCTACTTCTCTAAACACGTTTTCATGCCTTTACATAGAGATTTACCTTATTCTTTTTAATCACTGTATGAGTATTCATAATTGATTTAACCATTCCCCTATTGATGAATATTTAGGTGGTTTCCTCGTTTTTCTTGTTGCAAGCAGTGCTGTACCACACAGCTCCATAAATACACATTTGTGCACTACACCCTTGTGGGCATGTTTCTTCAGTAGAAATTCTAAAAAGCGATGCTTTACTTGATACTGTCAAATTGTCCTTCTAAAATGTTACACCTGTGTTGTCCCCACCCACCAGCAAACGTGCCCATTTCCTCAGGCAGTTTCCAACTGGATTCCTTCGATCTCTCATTGTTGCCTGATTGGTAAAACAGTATATGTCATTGTTTTGAAAAGCATTTCTTTAATTAACTGTTGGGTTTAAGTATCTATTACATGTTTTGGCCATTCGTATGTCTTGTGAACCACACGTTAATGCCCTCTGCCCAGTTTTTCTGTTGTTCATTATCGCTTCTTAAGACCTTGTTGAATATTTGTTAACTCTGAATCACATATATATTTAAATTATTTTTTTCCTGAGATCCTATTCTGTCTTTTGACTTTTTATGTCTGTTGGTTTTTTTAATGTATTTATTTTTATTTATAGGGAAGACTTTATTCCAAAGGTTTATCGCAAGGGGGTGGGAATGGAGCTATGGCCTTTTTGTGGTTTTAATTTATATATACATATTTAGGATATGCTAATTATTTTTCTTAATGGAATCAAATGTAACTATTTTTCTTTGTGGTTCTTGGCCCTTGTGTAAACTAAACAAATGTTAATGATAATGTGGGTAATACTTTTTAAATTAGGGTTTAAATTATTCTCCATGTTGGATGTTTCTTCAGGTTTTGCTTTCTGCGGTGCTGTGGGTGCGTGTTCTCTGAACGGGCCTTGAAAGAGATAAAAGCGGAAGTTTGTCACACAGTGAGTTGTTGACATACATCATTTGTTCCTTTTCGGTCACTGAGGAAATCAGATGGTTTAGGGTCCTTTCCTCCATGTGTCATTTCAACATCCTTCAATTCTGTCTGAAACTTGCATCTAATTAGTTGTTTGTCTGCTTAAAACCCTTCCACAGACTCAAACTCCCTCTTGTGACAGGTCCGGGCCTGCCTGCCCAGCTCAGGCCAAGCTTGGGCCACTCGCTGAGTGAGCCACTCTTTGTCCTGTGCCTTTGTTCTCTCTACTGTCACCTGCCAGCCTGGAGAGGTCCTTCCTGGGAACCTGAGTTCCAGAGCAATTGCTTCCTCTGTGAACCCTTATGCTAAACCTTCCTCTCCTTTCCCGGGGTGTCTTGTTAGCTCACCGATCGCATCAGAATGTAATTGGTGGCGATGTGATGATATCACCACTGGACCGTAAGGGTTTTTCCTTTCTTTTTTTATAAGACTTTATTTTTTTAGAGAAGTTTTAGGTTCACAGCAAAATTAAGAGGGAAGTAAGGGATTTCCCATATTCCCTCTGCCCCCACCCCCCACATGCACAACCTCCCCCACCATCAGCCTCGCCACCAGAGTGGGACAGTTGACAAATCTACACTGACATAGTATCACCCAAAGTTCCTCGTTTACACTTGGCTTCACTTGCGCTGATGTATATTCTGTGGTGTGGACTAATGTATAACGACATGTATCCGTCATGACAGGATCATACAGAGGATTTCCACTGCTCATGATAGTATCAGAGAGAGTATTTTCACTGCTCATAATAGTATCATAGAGCGTATTTCCACTGCTTATTATGGTATAATAGAGAGTATTTCCACTGTTCATGATAGTAGCAGAGAGAGTATTTTCACTGCTCATAATAGTATCATACAGAGTACTTCCACTGCCTACAAATCCTCTGCTCCTCCTGTGAGTGTTTGAGAGCGGGGAGTAAGGCTTGTCCATCTCTTCACCGAGGGCTTAATCCTCCCCTGGGCGTGTCGCACGTGCTCAGTAATGTTCACACACATGAGCAAATAGTTGATGTGTGACTCGCCTGCTCAGCCCAAATGAAGGAAATGCTGATGACGTGGCTTTCACGGTGCTGCTGCCGTCCGGACCTTCTGCTCGCCCATGAAAAGCCTGGCATTTAGTTTACTGTCATAGATGCCATCAGCTCCTAACTGTATTTTCACCCACATGAACTCTTGAACTCTGCTTGGGTTTTGTTAGCCTCCTTATACAGTTTCTCCTTGCTGTAAATGATTCTTTCATTCAGCAGCTTTTATTGAGTAACTGTTAGGGGCCAGCCCCTGCCCTCGGCACTACAGTGGATATCATGGTAGATAAGAGTGAGTCAGTCCCTGCCTGCATGGAACCCACATTCCATGTGGAGAGATGGACACTCAGATAACTGAGCAAGGCAGTAGCAATTGAGACAGATGCTAGGGAGGAAACCCAGAGGGTGATGTACCAGAGGGAGAGAGGCCACCTTAGTGGTGGGCGGCAAAAGTACCTCTGGCAGTTTGAGCGAAAGCTCAGAAGTAACAGAGGCCTTTGCTGGTTCAAGGAACAGAAAGTGTAGTGGAGGATGGGGCGGAGAGAAACAGATGAGATTGAAGGGTCAGGCACGGGTCGCTTCGTGTAGGGCCTGGGTGGCCACACTGGGGCTCGTGGGTTTTATTCTAAGAGCAGTGGGAAGCCAGACGGCAGCTGTCAGTTAGAGCGGATGGACTTTAGTTTTAAAACGATCCCTGTATAAAAGAAACTAGACATGGAGGTGGACACACTGGGTGATACCATTTATTTGGACTCAGAGATAGGCAAAAGGTAATTGGTGGTGAAGAAGTCAGTTTGGGGTGATTCTGAACAAAGCTATTCCAGACAGAATTTGGAATCTGTCTCATTAAGCTTCTACAAAAGAAAAGCAGTTCAAAGAATGCATTCAAGAATTTATTCGGCCGAGTGGCTCAGTTGGTTAAGAGCTCGCTCAAGAGTTTGAGCTCTGAGCAACAGCGGTTCGAGTCCCGGCCCGAGCTGAGCAGCCGCTGAGCTGCCAACAGGTGGCAGGATGGCTCAGCTAAAAAAAAAAAGTATGTCATTTATTCACCAGCACTTATTACCTCCCCTGTATTAAAGGTGATGTACAGGTGTTCCCAGGGGAAACAGGATGCAGGTGACACACCCCTATGCTCAAGGTGACTGCAGTCCTGCAGGAATCCTACGTTATATGAAAAGTCACATTTGATATTGTTGTTTGAGGCCAATACCAAGTAGATGGGAAAGATGTTATGGGAGCTCAGGGGCCAGGGTACTCGTTTTGACTGTGCTGATGAGAAATGGCTTTACGAAGGAGGAGACGTCTGCTCTCGGTCTTGAGGACAAAGCATGGTTCTCATCAGTCAGACTTGCCCAGAGATTGGTACAGGCTGGTGGTGGTAGGAGTGCTGGCTGGGATGGTGCCCAGACAGGAAGGACCCCAGACATCCCTACGAGACCGCACACAGGGACTTGGGGACTCCCACTTCGGCGCTCCTTCAGACCGCCTGCTCACCTCGAGGAGCAAGTCTCCGTTCGGTCCTAGTAGGTTTTTGGCACCTGTAACTCCACTGAGCGCCTGAGAGGGTGGACCTGGCACTCAGAGCCTGGGCAGGCAGGGTCCCGTGAGACTTGTTCTGTGTGCTCTGCATCTTTACGCTTACTTTATATTTATGGCCAGGGGTACTGTTTTTGTATTTATGGTGGGATTTAAAGTAAATTTAAGTAGCAACAAAGGGTAGATTTAAGGAAAAATGATAAGATACCAACAATACATTCTAGGGGAATGCCTGAAGTGTGTGAGACGCTGTTGTAAGTGATGGCAGGGACGTTGTCCGGGAGGGGAGAAGGGGAGGGGTCTGTTGAGAGGAGGGGGAGGAGGAGGAGAGCAGCAGCCGAGCTCACAGGGAGGAAGCCGCCCAGGCAGCCTACACAGGTGGGGGTAACAATGTATAGTCACAGCTCAGGCTGGCCAGGACTGTGGGGCAGGGAGAGGCCAGAGACATGAGTCGGACTGGGCGGTGGAAACTTCGAGTGCCAGACTGGGGGGCCATGGATGCCTTCGGGAGCATGAAGATATAGACCTATGCAGGATGGACAGAGAGAAAAGACTGAATGAGAGCAAGAATTTGACAGCAGGTATGAAAAAGGAGGCATGTGAGAAGTGTGTGCAGGAGTCAAAACGCAGCTGGAGTGGGATTTCTTGGAGCGGGACAGGCCCAGTGCACACGCTCTGTGTGCAGATGTGTGCGTGTTTTAGCAAATGGTATTAGGATGCCATTCAAGTGTTAGATGCATTCGCGAGTACACTCAAGAAATCTGCTTGAAAGAATGTAAATATGAGAAGGTGGGAAATTAAGCAGAAATTTATTACAGAAGCCAAATGTCCTAAATCAGTGGTTCCCAAACAAGACTATGCTTTAGAATCACCACAGTAGTTTGCTAAATTTCTATTCCCCATCTCAGACCCACGAAATCAAAATCTTGAGGGTGACTGTAGACCCCCACGGATTTCTACTTTTATTTCAGAGTTCCCAGAATAATTCTAATGGACTGCCGGGTTTGGGGGGCTCACTCATCTAGAGCAATTGAACTTTTGTCCTGCCCATAATGGTAAAACATCTCTTATATTGGTGTGCCGTTTTCCTTTGCATTGGCTGACCTCAAACATCATATTAGTAACCACGTTGACAAACGTGCATAACAGAGCTTTACAGCGAAGTTGATTTTATGTCATGGAAATGCACTGTTACAAGGGAACTCTGCAGTCATTTTGCTGGTTCTTGGGAAATTTTGCTGAGTGCTCACAAACGTTTGCAAGTCTGTACCTTGAGCTCTTTCAAGGGAAGGGAAGGAAGCCGTGGAAAGGGGAACCAACTGTGTCAGTTGCACAAGGAGAAGCAGAGACCAGGTGAGGACCAGGAGCCCGGCTCCTGTCTGCTAGTGGGGGTCGCCGTGGCTGTCGAGCCCTCCTGCAGTCAAGGCAGGACCCTGACTGGAAGCATTTGTCACGTACATAATGTACATAAAAATCGCCTTTGCATAGCTAGATTGCATACCCTACGTGTTAGTTTGCTAAGGTTGCCATAACAAGGTACCGCAAACTGGGCGATTTAACAGAAATTGACTGTCTCACGGTTCTGGAGGCTGGAAGTCCAGAATCATGGTGTCAGCAGGGCTAGCTCCTCCTGCGGGCTCCTCCTGCGGGCTGTGAGGGAGACTCTCCCAGGCCTCTCCCTGACTTCTAGATGGTGTCTTCTCTGTGTCTCCATAAGGCCTTGCCTCTATGGAGTCTGTGTCTGTGTCCAAATTTCCCCTTTTTATAAGGACACCACCAGCCATGCTGGGTTAGGGCCCTCCCTGGTTGACTGCAGCTTAACTCTGCAGTGACCTGATTTCCAAAGGTCACATTCTGACGTACTGGGGCTAGTACTTCAACATTTGGGGGAGGGGACACATCCAACCAATAACACTATATAATTTAGATAATCATAGAGCATTGGGACTGTCACTGGCACACTTGAGTGATTCATTCATTCACTCCTTCAACCAGTACTTAGAGCCTGTTATGTATCAGTTACGGCTCACACACCAGTGCTGGCTTGGGAGCATCACTTCCCCTGTCTGGGCTTTAGATTCTAATATGTAAAGTGAGGGACTTCTCAGATGCTTTCCTTTTAGACCCAAATTCCAAACAATAACATTTTTAAATGAGGAAGAAAATCAAATGACAAATTGGTATACTGTTATCAGGAACCAAACTCATACTTCTAATTTCAAGTCTCACGTTTAGTAATACTAAGTGTATCAAGGTTGGCTAACTGCTGTGATAAACAGTGGGTAACAGTGAAAGTTTCTGGTTGGCCAACTTTCTTCTAGGGGACGCTCAAGGACTCAGTCTCCTGCTGTCTTGTGGCGCTGACCTCCTCTGGTTTTTGGAGTATTCTCCATTGAATTGACTGATGAGGACAGAGAAGGGAAATCTAGCTTAGGAAGTTTTTATGGTCCCAGTCTGGACTTGGTGTTCATCACCTCTGCTCACAGTCCATTGGCCAAAACTCAGTCATGTGGCCACACCTATTTGCAAGGGAGCCTGGGAAAAGCAGTCTAGCTGGATGCCGAGGAAAACAAGGTGAAGACCAGCCATTTCTGCCGGCTCTGCCAAAAGACAGACTGATGGCACTGTTTCAGGAACTGTAGTATATTGTGACAATGTGAACGAAGTAACATAAAGCCACAGTGTCAAAGTCTAAAACAAATGTTTTTGCTTTTTAGGTAATGTCTGAAATTTAGAGACATCAGTGTCTTAAGTACAATGTCAGGAGCCTCTGATATTTAGGGTATGCATTTTCTCTACTTTTCACTCTGTAGTTCCACCTACACTTGGCTTTTCACTTCACTGGAAGAGCCTCGGGGGGTTGAAATGGCTCTGGTTTTGTGTCCTAAAACACATGCATGGTGTGCACATTCGATTTCAGTAAACGGTCCAAAGAGATGTAGTTGCTAGGTTTTTTGTGTTTTCACTATAAACAAATCACTAGCCAAAAAATTAATTGTATTCCCCACTGTGTTCCTTCCTTCCTGTAATAAGAAGAAACACATTGGAGTAATTACAGGTTGCAAAATAACTGATGTGCTTGTTACTCAAAGCACAATCCATGGTCCTGCAGCATTGGCGTCACCTGGGAGGTTTTGTTTTCTCTTTTTAGGCGTGCAGACTCTCTGCCCAGACCTGCAGAATCGGAATCTGTATTTTAACAAGACCCCCACAGGATTTCTCTGCACAATAAAGTTTGAGGAGCACTGATCTGGATTCTAGAGGTGTGATCCGTAGCATTTGACTTGCTAGCTCTCCGGCTTCATTTATTTAGTCTTTGTCTTAGGTGAGTGGGGTATCTGGATGTTTTAAACTCAGAAGGAAAATAGAAATTTACACCCATATTGTTGAGGTTTTTGTTGTTGTTGTTTGTTTGAGTTATTTTCATGGGTGAGGCGTGGGTGGAAAGGGGTGACAATAAGTTAGGGAAGGGGCGTATCTTCAAAAGTATTTGGCAAATTCTGATTTTCAGGCTGTGGCTTCCGGGTTATTTTAGCTTTCTGCCATCTTTATGGTCTTTGTGAATATTAAGCCTGGGGAATTGCATAATATCCAGTACAGGCAGCCTTAAACTTTACATGTAAGAAAAACCAAATAGAAAAATTGAACAGTAGACTCTGCATGTTAGCAAGAAGCCTCTTTTCCCAGAAGGCTAGAGAAATGATCCCAAGATCCCCATTAATACATTGCCTTTAAGATACAGTCCATAGCAATTTATTTCAGACATTTTTTACATGGGATTTAATTTTGTTTTTTGACTTCACAAGTGAACACAGTGAGAGTCTGACTCAGGGCAGAGCGAACAGCGGCTTCTTGTCATTAGTTCTGACGCTCCTGGAGGCAGCTGCTGTATTTTGGTCTCCCCTGCCTGTCCCAGCCTGGGTGGCTGCCTTGCCTCTCGGCCCCACCCCCCACCCCCTCTTCAAACAAGCTGTGTTCTTATTCTCACCTGAGCCTGGATCGAAGTGTTAGAAGGCTCTTGGTTTTCAGCAACTGTTTACTGAAGCATGCAGCCCTCCAGGGGCCTTATCTACAATATATGTCTCCAGCAGCACCTTGAGATACTTTTTCTCTCGTGATTTCTTTCTCAGAGCCTTAGAAGTGGCCGATAAGCAGTAGCAAAGGATTGTTAGTAGCATTTTTCTCCGTTCGTTTTAGGACTGACTTGTATCAGAGAACTGTTTCCCCGTCTTCTTGGGCTGAATGTTCTCTTAGTCAAGGAACCAGAGTGAAGCGAATAAGAAAGCAAACACTTCTCATAGCTCCCAGCTTAGCGGGTCAGGTCCCACTAAAGTGAGTCTGCTGTGGAAACCGCCAGTGTGGCTCCACGGAAACCTCCGCCTGCCGCAGCGCTCTCAGCCTGAGCCGCCTCTCCAGGCACGTAACCACAAGAGGGTCTGTTGAGGAGTCGAATTGGCTGGCAAACAGAGAACGCGACGAAATGATCCACGGCAGGTCTCCTGGTCCATATACACAGCTGTCCTGGACATAACGGCCTGCAAAAAAAAACCGAACTTAGCTGCCATGGTTCCCGTCAGTTTCCATTCACGCAGAAACCGTCACGCGCTGCTTCTAAGGTCACCTGTGAGGCCTCTGCTTCCCAGGAGTTCAGGGCATGCATGATTTCCATGATTGCTCCGATGGGCTTTTATGTGGGATTTTGAATGGACGATGGAAGGGAAGTTTTCATTCTTTTTGTTAGCGATCTCCAAAGTGTTTCATGGCTACTTTAGGTGGATACTGTGAAATTTGAGCATCTCATGAACCCAACGGAGATATAACAACATTCATTTGCCTGGTAAAATCTAAACTCTGATAGCTTCTGTTTGATGTTCCATGAACTTTTAAGTCTTTTCCTTGGTTGTGGGTAGTTCATAAGAATCGTGTTGATTTTGATAAGTCATTGCTTCAATCCCTTACTGGTTTTGCAGAGTGAGCACTGGATACAAATGGATTAAAATGGGAATTACAGCAGAACCCCGTGCTGATTGGCTCCCTTCGAGATGAACTCAGGAGCGCTTTTTATGCGCCTGACACCATGCGTGCTCCTGTCTTATTCTCCCCTCCACACTGTGAGGTGATTCCGTCACCACCTTCAGTGTGAGGACAGGCAAGTGTTCAGCTTGTTGGCGAGGGCAGGTTCTGTCCATGTTGCTCAGCTCTGTCCTGCGCTCTCCCCATGCCAGTCCAGTCATTCTGCCTCTGAAAACCTATCTTGAGATATTATTTTTAAAAAGGGATGGAACTGCATGTATAAAAATTTCCAGTAAGACTGAAATAATCAGAAAGAACCTTCCCCGGGCTGAGCAGGTATTCGTCGAGTAAGGGGCCTAGAGCTGGGATGCAGTAAGGATCATGTAAATGGCAGCTGTTAACATGATGGACAGACATTCTTGGCATAGTGTCAGTAGAATTCCATGTAACCAGCTAGAAAGTATAAATATGAAGACAAGCAGTGTGAAAAGCTTAGGACATGCAGAAAAAGAATCATGTGCCTTGATTATAACTGGATAACTGTGATTTATGTACATATGAGCTCAAACCGGAAGGGAACCCAAACAAACGGAATGTTTTCAGCGTTGTGTTAATACTGGTTTGATAATTAAAAATAAACTCTGTTGCTGGTAATAACTGATGGCTGTCACTCTGTGTGCAGAACTAGGCTGTAAGCTTGCCCAGTGGAGGGCGCATGGTGGCTGCACCTGATTTGAGACCCAGCTCTGTGCCACTTCCTGTGACCTTGGGACTGACCTCACCTCTCTGAGCCTGGGGTTCCTCATCCGTAAAGTGTGAATAATAATAGTTTCTGCCTGAGAATCATTGTGAGGGTTGACTGCAGGCCCAGAGCCAGGCCCTGGGAGGGTTTCCCCACACTGTCCCCATCACAGTGCGTGGCCGAAGGCGGGGCTAAGTGAACACCGGTTACAGCCGGCCAGTTGCTCTACTGGTTGGTCAGTTACACACTGACGCTGGGGATGGCAAGAACTTTCCCAGGTATTTACTTTCAGGGGATGATGTTTCTTAAGATTTACAGTAACTAGGTTTTTTTGCAAACATTATTGAAATATTCAGGTTGCCACTATAATAATTCTGAATCATTACTTTATTATTGGTGGCAACAACTCTACATGACTTTCTACACTGTTTGTGTACCTACGAGAATGACATTTTCAGGAAGAGCCTGAGCTTCCTCCTTTTCTGAGCATTTGTTTATTAACTGGTCCTGTCAGTCCCTGTGGGTCTTGGCAATGAGCTCCTTCCTGCTTTCTAAAGAAAGGCCAAGGTTGTGTTAGCCTGCTGTTTAACTGGCACCTTCTTATTATGTGAGTATCTCCCTAACTGAATCATTGTTGCCTTTTTAAAAGTACTAGAAATTACTCCAGCCCTCTGACCTGGTACCTGTCAGGAGGCTGGCTGTGCACGTGGCAGCAGGAATTGCCTGTCTTGAACTATTCTGGTATTCGGTTTTACGGTTTTGATTTGCCTGCAGCCTGTTTCTTTTAGGTCAGTCTTCTAAACAGCTCGAAAACTGGGCGAACCTAGTTTCTTTTGCATATTTGATGTACTTTATTCAAATGTGAGGGCCATACCCAAATGCACTAATCAGAGAGGTTACTGTGTGTCGGTGGTGTTGGGAAGCTACCGGTAGACAGAAAGGGTGGGGCCCAGGTGTCCCTGGAGACAGGACGCTCTTTGGGGGCCCCCTTCACGTGTGGACTTGCCATGGTCTCTCTGCCTTCTCCTCCCACATGATTTGCGGCCCCATGATGGCCAGGCAGCCCTCCTGGCCTTATTCACTTTGTGCTGTGATTTGTTCGTCATCCATCTTTTTTCTCCCCAAGATTGTCTGCTCCTCTCAAGCAGCCATCTTTAAACTGGGGGTTGGGGTGGGAGTTCGGGGGGCAGGGAGAGGAGGCCCAAATAGCAAGCTCGACAAGAAGCCAAGTTCTAGCTTTTCCGCTCTGTAGGTACTGCCCCCAAACTGATGCGCCTGAGAGCGCTCTGCAGGAGAGGGACCCAGCTGTCTCCCACCCCAGACCTTGCTTTGGTCTGTTGCCCTGGTAGCTAACCTCTGGGGCACCAGGCAAAGGGGCACCAGGATTCACGGCTCCTCAGGAAGAATCTGCTGAGGGCAAAGTAGAGAGCCCTTCCTTCAGCCAGAACTGCTTACAAACTTGGGGGGCGGGGTGCCCTGTGCCTGTCTAAGTACCTGAGAATTAAGGCTTCACTGCAAGGAGGTTGCTATGGGGACGTGTATTAGAACATTTATTTGAATCTAAGAATGAAGTCTGGCTTTTTCAGAAAGAAAGTCAGTCTTTGGCCTGATGACATTGGCTGTGGGGACTGCCTTTGCCTGTGAGATCATGTGACAGAGGGTCACATGAATGGTATGAGCTGAATTAAACCTGTGGCTGCAAGATTCTGATGAAAAACTATTCAGAGCATATATACGAAGTATAGTAGGTGGGAAAACACACCTATAATAAGATCTTTAAACCTATAATAAGATCTTTTTCCAGTTTCTTCTAAGGAGTGTGTAAGCAGAACAGGAGTGAAGGCCGTTGCTCTAGAGCTGCATGGCAGACTTTCTGTAAAGGGCTAGAGGGGGAATATGTTTGGCTCTGTGGTCAGATTCTGCCGTTCGTTGTCATAAACAGCACAGTAAGTGAATGGGCATGGCTGTGTTCAATAAAACTTTATTTGTACCAATAGGCCGCGAGCGGCCTGCTAGTGGTGGTCAGCTGGCCCCACTCTGCAGCTTAGGCCTATTCTAATAGACCCAGGGAGACACAGAGCTTATTTTTAATAGATATTTAAGTTTGAATTCTAGAAACAGGTGGAAAAAGCCAGGTAGCTCATGTATTTTTATCTTAAAACTTTAAAAGTTGCAGCCCTGTTGTGTGTTCACTTTGTGAACATGTATCAAGCTGAATACTTCAGATTTTTGTGCGCCTTTCTGCATGGATCTTATACCTAAATAAAAAGTTTTTAAAAATTGACACCACACCAGTTGGGTCGTCACTAATTCCAGAGTACTTTAAATGTGACTGTGATCGAGGCAGCAGTTGTATGGGGGTTTTTGTTTGTTTGTTTCATTTTTACCTTTACATCCATCATGAACATGTCCCTCCCCGTTCCTCCATTTAATGGCTCGCATGTCACCTTCCCAGCCAGCATTCGGTGTGGCGCCCGGAGCATCTGGGGGAAAAACAAGCGTGAGGTGTGAGACCCAGCTTCTCAGCTCTTGCGCGCCCTCATTTCCATTTCCTTCAGACACGGAAACTGACGAAGAGCCCCTAGCACAGTGCCTGGCGCTGGTCAGTTTCCAGTACTGTTTATTAAGTGAACGAAGACATGAAGAACTTCCCAGATATTTGCGCTAGACTTTTCAAAAGGCTCTGTTTGAGGAGATGCAAAATGCTTCTTTCTGGAGAGGGAACAAAAGCAGCCAGGTTGGTTTGGGAACTTGGTGCTCTGTCAGCCAGCCTTGCACCCCTGAAATCCAGGACCCTCCTTTCCTCCCCAAGTGGAAAGTCTTGCAAAATATAGAGTTATTTACAAGCCATATAGCAGAGCTGAAATAGAACCTTCAGTTAAGATTTAATTCCTGTTGCTGCCTCCTATCTGAACATATCCCTGATTGCTGGTTCGTTCTTACCTTTTAGTCGGTTCAAGGTCACCCAGTAGTGTCGCTCTGGGCTGTGGATGTCTTGAGACCACTGAAGCATGTCTTTTGCACGGATATCTGTCAGTACAAACTGTACAAACTTCCTCGTTAGTATGTAGTAAGCACTTCCAAAATAAATTGTTAAGTTATGGGGTGGTTCATCTTTGAATATTTTATTTGGAGACACATAGATATTGCCTTCAGGGGTGAATTCGGGATGACTTTGACTGGTCTTGGATTTCATGTTTTCTGGTTGAATTACCCCAGGGGTGATATTTTTGTCACTCCATTTGCTTCTGATGTAGTGTATGATTTCTTTGTTGGTTTTGATTGGAAAATCCTGCCCACAAAGGTTGATGACATAGTTCCATTGAAATTTGGAATGGACTAGATCTTTCATACAGTTAATGTCTGCCTGTAGTCTTGCAAAGCCCATATTAGGCACCTTCTCTCTCCCTGATGAAATGAAAATATTTTCGAAACAGTTAACCAGGGCTTGCACAGCAGTCTTGTCATTCTTTGGGGCCTTTTCATCAACATGAATACAATAAACATTTTGAGGTACATAAATAGCTCTGAGAAGCTGCACAAACATGGCCAGCTCCTTATGAACAGTTATGATATATGCCAAAGAGAAATTGCCCTCTTCAGCAGACAGGGGTCTGGATATGAAATGCAGCGCCTGGGAAATCCTGGAGCAATTTCCTGGTGTGTGTAAGGGAGCGAGTATGTCCAGTCCATGAGCGTTTTTACAAAATTTTGCAATTTGGAGGGCCGCCCCTTTCCCTTCAAATAAAGCTGAACACAGTTCATCTGGATAAAAGCCGCACTCCACTACTGCCAGAGAGGTGGGTGCCTCCTCTGGTCCCCCGAGAGTTGGGTTCCTTAAGTAAAGAAAAATGGAGATGATGCAAATGGCCGCGCACACCAGGAGGCCGGGCTTCATGGTTCGCAGCTGGCCCATGTTGTGAGCTGCAGGTGCCTTGTTGCCGTGGTCTGCAAGTTTTTCCTTTGAGCTTCCTAAAAGAACAACAGATAGAATTGAGGGTGTTGTACCCCCTTCCCAACTTCACTGAAGGATTTAAGTGTATGACTTGGTCAGTTTCTGTGTATGTGTGCACCCGGGAAACCGTCCCCACCGCCACGGTAACAGGCGTGGGCCTTACCCCTAAGCGCCCTGTGCTGCTCGCTCCATCCTCCTTCCCCCCTCGTCTCTGGGCGGTCGCTGACGCGCTCTCAGGCACTCTGGATTCGTTGGCATGTCCTGTAACTTCATATAAATGGAGTCATGCACTGTGTGCCTTCTGCCTGACTTTTTCCACTTAATGATTTTGAGATCCATCCGCATCATTGCATTCCTCACCACTTCATTCTTTCTGATTCTGACAGTATCCCGTCGTCCGGACACGCCCCAGTCTGCTGGTCCTGCACGTCAGTGGATACCTGACGTTTCTAGTTTTAGGAGATTGCAAGATGCTGTCAGCATCTGTGCACAAGTCTTTGTATGGGCCTGTGGTTTTGTTTCTCTGGGGGCAGACACTGCACAGTGGGATGGCTGGCTCGCAGACAGGTGTACGTTTAACTGCTTAGGACCCGCAGCCAACTGTGCAAAGCGGTTATACTGTTTTACACGCCTGCCGGCAACGTCTGAGAGCTCCCGCTTACTAGGATGGGAACTTGGTTTGGCTCAGGAAATGTTTGTTGATTGGCCCAAACATAAAACGTTATGGCATAATTTTAAAGACATTTTTATAAATTATGTAATATTTTTATAAACAAAGCCATCGTTAAAATGAACACATTTCACATCTGAGCTCTAAAATAAACAGAACCTTTTTATATCATAAATAAATGCTTTATCATAAAAATAGAAATTTAGTAGAAAGTAAATACCTTCTTGAAGTAAAATGAAAATAAAGCGTTTACTCCTCTTGAGGATTTTGGTTCAAGGTGAACCGTGCGCCGTAGCAGCCCGTTTCGTCTCCCCGGTTGACTGGAGGTTCAGTATGGGGAGGGTTTTGGAGGGTTTGGGGTTTGTTGTCTTGGTTTTTGTTTTTCAGCTTGTGGTCAAAGTAAAGCACTCTGGTCCCATCACGGAAATGTGAGCCCCACTTCACTGACAGATGGCACCCCGTGTATCCCCCAGAGCCCAGAATATCAGGTAGTCTCCATAGCTTACGATAATGAATGAAGACCAGTCTCGTGTGTGATCTGCTCGAGGGACACTCAGGCGATGCATGGGCTGAATGCGTTTCCCTCCCTCGTATGGAGACAGGTCCACGAGCCCGCCGCCTTTCCACCTCTAGGTCTGTCAGGGCCGTGTCCGCAGTTGCCCAACAATTAAATCTTCCTTCCGGCCCAGGGTCACCTTAATGTTTAGAAATAGGCGTGTGTGGGAACTAGGGTCGCCAGTAGTTTAGCTTTATTGTCACAGTTTCACACAAGCTTTTTAAGGTGATCCGGCCAGCCTTGTAAATGAAGTCTGGAAGACACCAGACTTTAGGTTTTTAAACCTAAAAACATGGTTCTTGCTGTTGCTTTAACATAACATCTGGTGGATAGTGGGAAATTCCCACAGAGTCAATTCTGTAGGGCCTGGCAGTTTTTCCTTTTTAAAGAGTGATGGGGCCGGCTGAGTGGCTCAGTTGGTTAAGAGCGCGAGCTCTGAGCAACAGGGTCACCGGTTCGATTCCCACATGGACCAGTGAGCTGCGCCCGAGCTGAGCTGCTGCTGAGTTGCGAACAGGTGGCAGGATGGCTCAGCTGGAGAGAGCAAGGTTGCCGGTTCGACTCCCGCGTGGGATGGTGGCTACGCCCACCCACAACTAAGATTGAACACGGCGTCTTGAACTCAGCGGCCGCAAGCTGCCGATGGGTGGCCGGATGGCGACTGGACTTGGAGCCGAGCTAGCTGCGCCCTCCACAGCTAAGATTGAAGGACAACAACTTGGCTGTTCCCCTTCCCAATTCCCCCAACACTGTTCTCCTTCCCTAATTCCCAATAAAATCTTTAAAAAAAAAAAGAAAAAAGAGCAATGACCACCATTTTCAGTTCTGCAAAGGTTTCCTAGCCCTGATTCTTGGTGGTTTGTTGTTGTTCTATTTCTATATTGTGACACCAGCTTCGTAGCCATAGTGAACGTGGAAGTGTTAAACATGTGACTTTCTATCACTAAACTAATTTCTAAGAAATGTAAGTGGTATTTTCCAAGTGTGGGCCAGATGCAGCTCCTAAAAAAGTGTAGCCTTACTGGTTTTTGGACCACTTCTCTCCTCCACTGATAGTTCTGTTGGAAGTCCTTCTTTATTTTAAAGGGTTTAGAGAGAGAGAGTGGCAGTCTCCCTTGTGTTTTGTGGAGCAGATATAGAAGCTCTTTGTCCAGAGCAGACCCATTTTACCATTCCGCTGACCTGTTTCCTCATGTATCACTGAAATCAGAAATGGTTTCTAAAACTGCTATTTTCGGGCTGTGTGAGAGAGCATCTTAAGGCTTTTTTCATGCACTGTCTTTCCTTAATTTAAATTTCCTGGGCTTTATATACTTGAATAATCTTTTAGTCTTCCATCACTGCAGCCTTTGACAGGTAGCATCTATCTATCTATCTATCTATCTATCTATCTATCTATCTATCTATCTATCTATCTCAGTAGAATTAAATGGCTCCAAACAATGAGTAATCTTTCAGTAGAAATAATTACCAAAGTTAACGGTTAAGGATGGTGTTTACATTTCGTTCCTTTCTGTAGTGCTAAATCTCCACAATAACAGCAGTGATTTCCAAGTGTACTTCTCATAATGGAATTGTATTACATTTTATGTTTTTGTCCAAGCATAAAATGCTTCCAAGGGGTTGTTTCAAAACACATGACTGTCCTAGTTATTAGAGCCAGTGAGTATGTTTTACTCCGTTTCTTCTTTAGTCTTCTACAGCCTCGCCCTCCCTGCCTCCCAACAAGCCTTAACAGCCAAAACAAGAGTCAGCAATATGGTTTGAGACTGTGGACTCCCACTAGAATACTTCATTTAAGGGCAGCCATTTAAACTTTGTTGTGATGGGATTTTGTGTGTTAGGCTTTTCAGGGGGCATTGACAAGATCCCATATAAACTAACTCTTTTTGCTGAATCTTTTATACTTTAAAAAAAAACAATAATTCCTATGAATAAATAAATAATGAATAGGCATCTTTAAAGATGGACTTAAAATACTTTGCTGTATATTCCAGAACATTACTGTTTCAGAGCATTAAAGCCTTAGCTTAGCCAGATTAAACAATTTAGTCTCCATTTTCTGGACTGCAGATGGGACATATGACAGTGCCTACCTCCTAGGGACATCGAGACAGGAGCAGATGGGTGTGGGCTTCCCACTGAGCCTGGCCCAGGGAGGTGTTCGGTGCTTGCGTGGGATTGGGGTGCCTTAGTGCTTTCCAGCCTCAGGGTAGTGTCACCCCGACCATGCATGTCGGGTGCTGTCTCCATGTACTGTATGTTTGTCCTAAAAAAAGTCAGTACAGCCGCAGCAGTGAAAATTGTGGTGTGTTATTTCTGTTAGGCTCTGGGCTCAGAATGATGTCCAAAGCACCCCACAAATTAACACGGTTGTTTTCTTGAACTGTCTGAGTTTATAATATTAGACAAACTAATTTTGAATTCTAAGACTGTCCAGCTATCCAGTAAAATAGATGTCTTAATCCCAACATGCTGATTCCTAAAAGGTGTGTACAATTTTGCAGCCACTTTGATATGAAGAGGAAAACTTTATTTTAGGATATCCACTCAAAACAAGCACAAAAATAACATTTTTAGTATTGGCACCCAATGCTAACTGAGGATTCAGAGTTGGCCCTGAGGCTGACTGAGTTGCTATCTCCCCTGTGAGCAATAAAGAAATAACTGGTGGCGTTAAAATTGTAAACTCTAATTGGTCTCATACTTGAAAATATTCCACTTTTATTTTCTTCCAAAAAATGAGGACTGTTTTTGAGAGAAAAAGATGCCTGCTACGCCTGCATTTTATAATATTCCTGGTATTCTATTTTAAAACCATAAAGGAGGCAAAGAAAAGCATTTTGTTGTAATAACAATACCTGCTCAGCCTGTGCCATTCATGCCCTGTGCCCAGGTCCGAAGCCCTTACCACAGGGTATTTCTCACGCCCCTGGGGTGGGGGTCCTGGCCGTGCCCTGCCCACGGGCTTTTCTCTCCATCGGTTGCTGGTCTTCCGGCGGCTGCAGCTTAAATCCCAGGAACGGAGTTGCCTGGCAGGTTTTGTTCCCCTCTCATCCCTTGAGGATTTTATTCTTGTTGATTCTGTAGATTGAAAACTAGATGCTGCTTTTGCTTCTCCGAGTGTTTCTTCAGGACTGGACCACACCTTCTAACATAAAACAAGATGGCAGCACCAAACGCCGGGCCAGAGAAAGGGCCCTGCAGAGTAACTCTGAGATTCTGAAAGCCAAGTGAAGTCCTAGCCGTCATGGGTTGGATTCTTTAAATGCTTACAAAAATAGGAGGCCAGATTTGGTTATCTGACCTACCCTTTTTCATTAAAGGGATAAATAAAAATCATTTACCAACCTTGCTGGCTCCCTCAATAGCACTGGGGGCATTCCGAGTGTCAGCATGGCTGTGCAGAGGGCCTGACTCCCGGCTGCAGCCAGCCCGGCCCCGCCTGCATCCTCTGAGCTCAGGGCACCTGCAGGCTGTTAGTGGGCCCTCCCCTCATCAGCATCCCCTGCTGGACACTTTGCTAACACCCTTCCTTGCCGGGCTGCGAAGCTTCTCTCGCTTGCTGGCACTGCCTGTAGGCTTCCCACGACACGTCAATTAGGAGAGTGAAGCCAGCAGACATCGTCGCACACCAGGGAGACTTACCCGCCCCCCGACCTGCCTCCCGCATATGTCCACACACCTGAGCTGGGTACTTAGTCGGAGGAGGACAGGTGTGCTTCACCTGCTCTGGGTGACTCGGGACACATGTTGCTCTGCTGAACAGGTGTTGCTGTTGCCATAGGAAGATTGCTTAATTAGCCGGGAGGAATCTGGTCCCTTTAAGCTTACAGGGCTGTGGCACTGCTGTGTGTGTGACGTGTTTGCTTTTCACATACAGCAGCTCAGGCCAGCCTTTCAGTGGTGAGAGCCTGGATACATTTGTAGGGAGGTGTTCAGAGCCCATGAGCTGAGGGACTAATTTTATCTAGTGACAATCAGGAGAGGAAAGGTCCTTTCATGCGTGGAAAGGCCAGGGCCACCCTGCCGGCTTGGGAAGTCTTGCTGCCGCTTGCCCCCTGCACCCCGAATGCTTGTTTTAAAAGTCATCCTGTGGGTACCACTGATCTGGCCCATCCCGAGTGGACAGGGATTGGTGCTGGATTTTGCCTGGTACCGCACATCCTAAATGATGGTGTCACCTGCATACAGCTTCGCACGTCCATAGCTCCAAGGAAAATGAAGAGTAAAAGCCAAACCTACTGGAGAAACCATTGTACAAAATGGACAAAAGGTTAATAGGCTTAATGTGTAAACTTCTTATACAGACTGATTACATGTTTTTTAAAATGAAAATCCTAATAAATAAAATAGACATAGGGCATACACAAGTAATTTATACGAGAGGAAATATGAATGCAGGAGGAGGTTTGTTTATTAAAGCCAAAAAAAAGCTCTCTCTTGCCTTTCGGATTAGCATAAGTTGTTTTTTTCTCCTTTGAATTATTCGGTGTAATGGGTATGCTCACATGTTGTAGGAAGTCTAAAGTTCATGCGACCTTTTAGGGGAACAATTTGGCTTTAAAATTTCATTCCCTTTCATCCTGGTTTGAAATACTTCTCTAGGCTATGTTCTCATTCATTCATTCAGCAATTATTTACTGAGTGTCTACCATGTTCAAGACCTGGGCTGCAGCCATGAAAGATAAAAGACAAGACCCCCCCCCCCACTTGGAGCTTACAGTGTGACGGAGGGGAAGCACAGGTCTAAAAGTCAGCGCACATACGGGTTCGCATTCGTTCATCATAGGTGCCACACAGGAAACAGGTTCCGTGGGAGACAGTGGCCGTGTCTCAGGAGTGGGACTGTGGGTCAGAGACACATGCAGTCATCTTCACAAGCACTGTTTGTGATACAAATGTACAGATACCGCTCTGTACATTTGCTCCTAATTCCACCACTCTTCCCTCAGCAGTTCCCTACTGGCCTTTTGTTTTTTCCAATACTTTTTAAAAAAGAATTAACATCCAGAGTTTACATGAATATACAATTTCTAGTCTGCTTTTTCTTTTAACATGTGATACACATTTTCTACGTTGTCAAAAACTCTAAAATAATTACGTACTCCCTCCTTTTTAAGGAATGTTGTATGATCTATTTAACCATTTCCCCCAGGTTTTGGACATCTAAGTTACAAGTGATAGAAGGAAGCAAAATTTAGAATGAATATATGATTTCAGCTGTGCGGTAACAGTACATGCGGGAAAATACATTTGCAGGAAAACATGGGTGTTTTTCACTCTGTGTACCTGTTACTTTTCTAAGCAAAGAGGGAGGGTCGGTCCCTTCGGGCCAGCTGTGCCTTCTCAGCAGCTCTGCCTCCCTTCCAAGGTAACCCTCTGCCTTTCGGCCCCAGCCTGGCAGCGGGCAGGGGGACAGAAACCGGCCTCCCGCCCTGGCTTCATCTGCCCCCCACGGGCGGGCCACTCCCCCCAAGCCCCTGCGGTCAGGCAGAAGCCTACCGAGGACAGGCTCGCACCAAGAACAAGTGGCAGGACCTGCAGCCAGGGGGCGGGTCGGGTGCGCATCTCCAGGGAGCAGACCTGCTCAGGTCTGGGCAGCTGGGGCCTTTGGAGACAAAGAGCAAGATGTCTCAAGTTTTAATGTGAGAGGTTCCGACGGTTTATTTTTAGTGGCTAATTCAACTTGAAAAATACAACTCCGGGCACAGCTGGATGCCGAACAGGGTCTGCAGCCATATCTAGACGACTAAACAGCCTCATCTGGAGGAAGGAGACTGCTGACTGCTGACAGGATAGGAGAGGGGGGCTTCCAGGAGCGGTGCAGGGAAGCGGCAGGAGGCCGGGCGGGCGTGCAGGAGGGGGAGGAAGGGCTGGCCCGCCTCCTGCTGCCTCGGGGCTGTGCTGGCGCGGCCTCTTCACACCAGACCCCAACCCCACTGGCCTCCTCTGCCACCTGCTTCTGTTCCTGCAGATGCTTCTCATGCCCTCCCCCGGGGGAAGCCTGCACCCCAGCCCCCACAGTGTGGGGCGTCCCGGGGATGTCTTCCTCCTTTAGGCCGCCCTGCAGTGATGGCGAAGCACCAGCTCCTTTTCCTCAAAGGCGGTCCTGTCTGGATGCCATATTGGGCACCCCCGTTGTTAACGCATATAACCCCTCTATGGCATCAACCTCAGTATTCGTAGGTCAAAGGAAGGTCTCTCCAGTCATGAAAACTTAACCAGACCCACCCTAGAAAAGGAGCTGACTTTGACCCAAAGCATTGGGTTTTGGAGACAGAACCACAATAAATAACCCAGCTAAGGCAGCAGACCCAGGAACTGGCTAGGCCAAGATGCCGGGGGGACAGCAGCAGCTTCCCAGGAGCTTGGGGGGCGGCGGCTGGGCTGAGTGAGGGTCCGAGGGTGGCTGCCCTCTGTGTGGTGACGGAGCCTGTCTCCTTTCTTTTGCCCTCCAGTGTGGGGCTGCCTTCCAGGAGGACGACGTCACCGTGCTCAACGGCACCAAGGAGGACGTGGAAATGCTGAAGAGCAGGATGGAGGAGAGACGGCTGAGAGCGAGGCTGGGAAAGGTAACGGGGGTCCTTGTGTGTGTGCCTCCCCTTCCCAGAGTCCTGGGCCGGTCTTCAGGTCCTGTCCAGCTGCCTCTGTGCTCAGAGCCCATTGCAAACCACCGACCGAGCTGCGCTGCTGGCGCTGCTTCCAGTTTGCGGTGACTGAGATTGCTTTTACAACCTGGAAGGGTCTGGGCTATAGAAAGTTCCAGTCCAGGCTAGGCCCCACAGGAACAGCGGTCAGCACGACTGCTGTGCTCACTGATCTCCAAAGCATGCAGTCGGCCCTCCATATCCGCGGGTTTTCATCAGCAGACTCAGCCAACAGCGGGTCGAAAATATTTGGGGTGGGGGAGGGAAACCCCAGAAAGTTTCAAAAGGCAAGCAAAACTTTATAATTTGCCACCCGCCAAGCGCTCTGCTGAATGCACACAAATGAAGTGATGTGTGGACACACCTGCTGTAGTCTATATGCAAATACAGGTCATGTGCAGATACTACGCCATTTTACCTAAGGGACTTCAGCACCCTCAGTTGGGTATCCGCGAGGGTTCTGGAACCACCCTCCCACACCCTGCATGTACTGAGGGACAACTGTACGTTCTCGGTGTTCGTAACTTGTAAAATAAAGGAAAGGGGAGTCCCCATCACCCCAGCACAGATTTGAGTGTCCTGGGAGTCACCTGGAGACCCGGGCAGCCCTGGGCACCTGCGTTTCCCACCCACTCCAGGGATGCAGCCCCTCGGGCAGCACTTAGAGTAGCAAGGATATATTTAAAGGGCTGAGCGCAGATTTCAAAGTGAATCTATACAAGTACATTCATTCTAAGTTGGTTTTCTAAATTACCATGATTTCATACAAAATCATTATCATACAAAAAAGAGAAAGAAAAAAGCGTGAGCTCTTTTTGACAAAGGACAGTTACCAAAAAGGATATGCTTGTTCTTCATTGATCAAGCTCAGTTTTTTTATTTATTTTTTTTTTATTTAATTTTTTTTTTAGCTGAGCCATCCTGCCACCTGTTGGCAGCTCAATGGCAGCTCAGCTCAGGCTGGACTCGAACTGCTGTTGCTCAGAGCTCAAACCTTTGAGCGAGCTCTTAACCACCTGAGCCACTCAGCCAGCCCCAAGCTCAGTTTTTAAAAAGCACCAAAGGGAAAAGTTGTCTTTTGAAGGACGCTCCTAGAGATGTCGTGTGGTCGCTGTTTACCATCTGACTTTAGTGAGTTGTCTCCTCTGTCCCAGGCTTCCTGCCAAGTTGTTCAAACCCAAGGGAACCAACGTGCCCCTCTTCGCAAAATACTCACCAGGGCTTCTGGGAGTGCCTCCTAGATGCTGCTACCAGGATACCAAAATATTTCCCAAATACACTCGCAGCTGGAAACAGGCCTCGCGTTTGCTCTGACTCCTACTGCTTGTGCTTTTCAGATAACAGCTGTGAGCAGAGAGCCGGGCAATCAGCAAGTGCTCTCTTTTTTTGAAGGCCTGGGTGTTAACCCTCAGATTTGAATGTGTGCCTTGCATGTGTGAGATACCAGGAAGTTTTTATGCCTCGTGCGGGAGTTACACATTCCACTGCATATACATGTGTGCAAGTTCAAGGCCCCTGCTGTGTTTTCCAGTGATGGGAGCCCCTGAATTCATTAGGCTGTGTGTCTGTAGCACCATCTTTTGGCTACTTAGGAAAATGGCGCTTTTAAATTTCCTGAACCTGATCCTGTGTTCTTCCTGTGATGGAATCAGTTCTAACACAACTGTGTGGTTTCAGAGTGGTTAGTTTCATTTAAAAAATCTTTGCTGACCAATATAACGTTATGAGCGACAGAATTCTAGTGCCCAAAAATCTAATAAGAGTAATCCAGAGTTTAGGAGATTTGGCTGAAGTGTCTGTTAGTGTAAGCCTTAAGTCCTTATAGTTAAATAAATATCAAGGCAGTTGGACAACTTGGAAAAAGTCTTACTGGAATGGGCAAGATTCAGCACACATTTATCCTGGCTGGCCTTGATGTACCCGCGTGTACTTTATGTTATTCTTCATTTAACTGCTCTTTGTGTACAATAAATCGTCCCCATTAACCTTGAGCATTATAACTAAAATCTGCCATCGTCATTAAAACTTTCTGAAAATGTGATTTTAGAATATAAAACTTGAGCAGATCTCTACAGATACGTTTCTGTGTGAGGCCAAAGTGCATACCTGGAAACACATGCAAAGGGTCAAGGTTTAGAATGAAGGGTGTGTCAAGGTCGTCTTCAGAATGAGCACCTGCTGCCGTGTAGGAACCGTCATTCGGCTCCTGGTGGGGGAGAGGGAGACCCGCTGACATGAAGCAAAGGGCATCCAAGCACCTGTAACTTCCTCTTTCTTTTTACAGAAAGTGAAGAAACCCAAGGCGGCAGAGTCAGTCTCCAAACCGGATGTCAGTGAAGGTAAGACGCTAAGAGCACTGGTCTTATTACAGCAAAATACGGCTTAAAGAAGCGCATGCTTTTGTTTTGCTCACTTCGTTCTTTTTGCAGAATCCGCAGGACCATCAAAAATTAAGGTCGGGAAGCCTGAAGAGACCAGCCTTGATTCTAGAGAGAAAAAAATCAACCCAGCTCCCAAAAGTGCAGGTGTGTCCCACTGAAGCCACAGGGGCAGCTTAGGAGGCCACTTATGTCACAGTTGTATTGGAATGAATTTGAAAACGTAGGCTCGTCCTGAGTCCTGTCTCTAAATCGTTGGTTGAGCTCTCTTGGGGGACTCCCTAAGAAACAGTCGCTGTACCCCAAAGTGGGAGTCCCTCAGCGTTGCCGGGGTCTGGGCACAAACGCGGATGGCTCGGTTTGCCTGTTGTGTGTGCACCTGGTGCCAGGCCTACGAGGCTGCAGACTGGCTGGTGCACTGCGGCTCACGGGACCGGGCAGGCCGTTCCCGACCCTGTACGGCTGGGCTTTTGTGCCCCATGTGCGGCACTCGGAGCCAGGCTTCCCGCCCCGCCTCCTGGCCAGCTTATCAAAGAGCCGCTTGGCTCCAGCATTCAGTGCACTCCTCCTGAAACTCGCGGCCTTTAACTAAAAAAAAAAAGTATTTATTTCACAAAAAGGAAAACAGGTTTATCAGGTAAACGAACATGTAAGCTTGTGTTGTAAGTTGCACCTGCAGTGGCTAATGGGTTCCAGTGCCCGGCCTACGTGCAGTAGCCACCTGGGGCCTCCTCTTCCGCTAACCGCACCCCCCTCCCCAGGAAGATCTGATTCATGTCGTGCACGGACCTGGGACCGGTGTGAGCACATCGCAAGTAGTTAGTGTGATTTTAAATGACAGGTTTCAAAGTCTTTAGGAGTTCACCAACTCCAAAACTCCAATTGAGATGCTGTATTTCCACTTCCATCCCGAGAGGAGGAGGGAAATCCCTGGGAATAACACTTAACCATTTCCGTCTTGAGGATGCGGTATTTGGAATGACCTTTCGTCCCAATATTAAAGCGTCTGGCTTTCCCTTTTTCCAGCAGCAGCAAATGCGAGCTCTTCTGGAAAAGCTGGGAAGCCTCCCTGTGGAGCCCCAAAGCGGTCCATTGCTGCCAGCGAGGAGTCAGAAGCTTACAAGTCCCTCTTCACCTCCCACAGCTCCGCCAAGCGCCCCAAGGAGGAGTCAGCCCACTGGGTCACCCACACGTCCTACTGCTTCTGAAGCCCTGGCCCCCCGGCCCCACGCAGCCTGCTCGCTCCCGTGGGGCAGCTGGTGTGGGCGCTGGCTGTGCCGGATGGTCCCTGCTAGGCCTCCATTTGCACCTTGTCACACAGTCGCCCTCCACACCTCGGAGCCGGTGTGGTCACTCCTGCCTGTGAGGCTTGGTGGGCGCCCACCCACATCCCCCTCTCCCGCAGGCCCCGTGCTCACTTCCACCTGGAGCTACATCTGGACCTGCCCACGGCCAGGAACGCCGTGTCGGCCACACTGTGCTTGAAATCATGAGATTCCGGATTCCTCGGGATGTGTGGTCGGCTCATTCTGACGAAAATTCTAGTGGTGTTGCTGCCAACAGTTAATGAAGTAGAACTTAGGAAGGATGAATTTCAAATGTCCTCTGCCCGCCGGGGGCGTGTCTCCTCGCCAGCTGAGGGGATGGAGGAGATATTTCCTGCGTTCATCATTTCCAGGATAGAAAAGATTGAGTCGGGCACCCGATGATTTGACACAAAAATAAAGCCAGTCTGCCTGTGCTCTCATCTGTCTGTATTTTTGTTCTTCTGTCCAATACTCATGTTTTGGTAAGAAAATTTCAGCCATTCCATTGCTAGTGACAGGAACAACTCCATGATGTCATGTGAATTCCACCAGTCACAGTGTCCTCAGCATCAGAATTCAGCATCTCAACACCCTTCTTCCCCTCAAGGTCAAGGTCACATTCAAAATCTCTGCTCTCCCCACACCCACCACCACCCTCTTCATGCTCTGCCTCTGGTCCTCTTCTTGTGGAAAGTCCTTTAGACTTTTGGATTCAATATAAACCCCAAAAAATTCCCATCATTAAGTAATACAAACATTTCCAAGCAACGAAGCTTCCTGAGCATGTCTGTTGTTTGGGGTCGTCTTTGTAAATCAAGTCTGTTTGCCCCTTACTGCATCACAGCATAACCACTAAGTCTTAGAGCACCATTTGGGGTAGTTAAAATGCAGGGTACATGCAGACCTGGGGTCACCTCACAGTACACTGCAGAAGCTCAAAGCACCCCCAAGAGCTGTGTGGAGAGACTGGGGACAGGGTGGTGATTTCCAGGACGAGCCCCTAAAGGTCCCAGGGCACACCCTCCAGCCCACAGCCACGGACAGCAGGCCAGCTGCTCCCCAAATGGCACTTCTTAAGCAGTAAGCAGCAGCCCCTCCGGACGAATGGGCTGGCTTACCTGCCCGGCCTTCTGCAGGACAGCCTCCTGCAGGACAGGCCCCCTTTTCTCCGCAGATAACACGCTGTGTGCGTGGAGGGGCCGTTGGTGCAGCACAGCTCAACCGTCCGTCTACCCTTCGGTTTTAGTCTTCCAGAACTGTGTTGCTGCCCCGAGCTCAGCACAGTTTGAGGCAGTGCAGGCACCCAGGGGACCCTTGATTAGAAGCAGAACCTTTTATTCCTAGGGGATACGTCTGCGAATCAGATGGCCCGGGGAACAAGGACAAGCCTTGAACTTGTTCCGTGAACTGGGATTTCTTGTTCCATGTCAGTTTCAGAAGCCGATTGCTTCAAATACACTGGCAGTGAGCCCTTGTTATATTCCTGGCACTGGCCTCGGTTGTCCTCACCTCGGGGCTTTCGCGCATGTCTGGTGTCAACTCCTTCCCCGTGTTCCTCAGCCAACTCGTAATCATCCCTCAAGCTTCCCAAGTGCCTTTTTCAGGAGAGCCTTCCTACAGAAGGTAGCCTGGAGCCCTCCCCTTGTTCTATGCTCTTAAAGCTCTGCTCTTACCACAATTGTCAGGTATGACACTTAAGTAACCCAGGGAGTGTACACTCAGGGACGGTCAGTGAGGGCGTGTGTGAAGCGACGGGAGCGTTGGAGACGACACGATACGGCCACCCGGCAGCTCGGTCCCTATTTGGTTCCAAGCAGAGTGGCCCCATGTTCTGAGATGGTCCATATTTTCTAAAAGAGCCAGAAATCTAGGTTTTTAACATGAAGTTCCCCCTCGCCAACATTTAAATAGTGCAAATAGTTATTTTTAGAAACGTAGACCAAGGAAAACATCACTGGCTCCTAATTTGTAGCCTCTGGGTTAACATCTTTCCTACTTGGCTCTCGGCCCCACAAGGGCACATGCCATGTCGGCTCGGCTCACCACGACATGTGGATTCAGCAAATGAAAAGCAGCTCAGTGAAGGCCTCTGCAAATAGAGCGCCAGGCACAGGCAGCCGAGCAGGACCCGGCGTTCCGTCACCCCCACCTCCCTTGTTGCCCACTGGAAATGTCTCCATCTCCCTTTAAGTCCCACTCCTGGGACCACCCTGGGCTCAGTATCCTCTACCCTGCTGTCATCACAATGGCCAGAGCTGGCTTGGGGCCTCTGTGACATCACCAGTGGCCTGGCCCTAGCTACCCAGTCTCCAGGGACGAGGCAAACAGACCCACCATGAGCAACTTCCTCTCCCATCGCTGTTCACCATGCGGACGCTGAAATGGTTTTTGTTCCTGGCTCTATGCCTCTCCTGCGGCTATGCCCTCATGTTTTCTTCTCTGAGGGACAAAGGCAAAGACCCCCAGGGGAATATGCCTTGCGGAGGGCACTTTCGGAGTAGGCAGAACCTACCGGAGCATACCCAGGGCTGGCTTGGGAGCAAGTGGCTCTGGCTGTTTTTTGTTTTTGCGCTGTACATGTTACTAAAGTTTCGGGGAGATAGTGAGAAGAGTAAGGTAAGGATGCATCCTTTTTTTTTTTACACTTTTGATGTCATCTCAGAAATCTCAGACTCGGAGAAACAGATGTTCTAGTTGTCACCAGCAGGACCACTAAGTATAAGGAGTTAGGATGCAAAGTACCCGCATCCCTCATGGTCCTGAGACAAGCTGCCACATGCCTTTCCTGACATGTTCTTATGGAAAGACAGTCGTCCCCAAATGCACGGAGGGTTGAGCCTAACAGTTGAAGACCACCTTTTGTTTACCGGGTAAATAAAACCTTGGCTTGGTATGTAGCCTGTTAAACGAGCTTTTTACAAATTGAGGATAGATTCAAGAACTTGGCATGTTTGGGGTCAAAATTATTCACGGAGCCAGATTTCCTGCCCCTAGCGTTTGACTTATTGCAAATGGCTGAAGTGAATGGAGATGGTATCATTAAACCAAGAGGTAACAACAGCTTGTCCCTAAAGTGGCTAAACAGCATCCAGAAGGAGAAAGGAAGAGAAACATGGCAGCAAGTTCCCTCCTAGACAGACCCCACACTTCACGATACTGACCAAGTAGAGCAGGGCTGGAAAGCCTTTTCAGGGGCAGAGAGTAGATCTTTTCAGCTTTGCGGCCCATAGGGCCTCTGATGCAACAACTCAAGGATGCTGCCATTTTAGCTTGAAAGCAGCCCCAGACGGTATGCACATGAGTGTGTTCCAATAAAATTTTATTTACAAAAACAGATGGCGGGCCAGGTTTGGCCGTACTTTGCCAGTCCCAGGACTAGAGTAAAGCTAGGACCACCTTCTCTTAGGTGAGCCCAGCTCTCTGGGAACTGTGGCCAAACCCACAAAGTCAACGGTGTTACTCACCCCACGTATCTTTCTCCACAGGAGCAGAATCCTCCTCCCGGCCTTCGAAGCTGTTCATTTCGCCCTCCCCTAAAGAAAAATCAGAGTGCTTCCCCCAACAAAGATTATGCATTGAATACCCTAACCCAACTCGAGATGGACCTCGTGAAATTCATGTCCAAGGTGCGGAATCTGAAAGTCTCCATGACAACTGGCAGTAAGCTCAGGCCTCAGCACGTAGAGATACCTGCAGACCCCCAAAATAGTATTACGATATATGAAATATGGGGCGAAGAAGAATACGAATGAATGCATTTGTGTGTTGAAGTAGGAGAGAAAAAGTTGAGTGTTGACAAACCATACACAAACTAATATAACTATTCTGAAGAGAAAGAAATCTCGAATTTCAGGTCTTTTTCCCTCTTTTGTTAAACTTGATAAAATAAATGTGAGACCTGTAGCCATAGCAGTTATTGTCTTGTTTTTGCCTTTCTCACTCTTCTAGACTTGTGGGTGGTGAAAAGCGTATGGACAGCGACATAGTGGCATGAGTGACATTCTTGGCCTCGGTGCCATGGCCCCTGTAGGACACGGTTTAGGAAATTTGGGATAAGATGTTGATGTCATTTTCATAGTCGCTATCTTTATAGCAGTTATTTGTGCAAAAGATGGAACTGATTTTTATCTTTATGATTCATTACATTATAAAGGGCTACTTTAGAGGTTTAAAATGATAAAATGGTTGGATTAGGAGGTGTGTGTTGTGTGTGTGTGTGTGTGTGTGTGTGTGTGTGTGTGTGTGTGTGTGTGTGTTTCTCGGGGGATGGTGAATTCTAGAATCATTTGATTTTCTTTCCACCAGAAAAGTCTTCATTCCGTCTCATGCATTCTCTGTATTAACTTTTTCTTCTGCCAAGTTAGCAGTTACATCTGTCTAACTGGAATAAGAAAAATGGAGAATCGATTTGTATTTTCAATGCAATTTGGATACAGACGAGCTAACCAGGGGCTCCCCAACTAGTTGATATGAGTGTTCTTTGTAACGCCTATTAACAATGTGGATATTTTGGCATGTAAATATGGCTAGTGGAAACTGTACTTACCCCAGCCTATTAAGTTAGCTTCTGGCCCCCCTAATTTAGACCAGCCTGACACTCTAATAGACGTGCAGGTGCAGGCCTGAGGAGAGACGTTAGCTGTGGAAGATCATGGATATTCCCTTATTTCCACTTCAGTACACATTAACATGTGCCTGCCTGAACCCCCATCCCCCTTCCCAGCTACCAAAAAAGTATGTCCCTTCGTTTGAGCAAAGTCTTCAGCGTCTGTCCCACGTGTGTAGCTGTTAGACCTCAGATGAAAGCTGCCCACCTCCTCTCCTCTCGACAACATGACTCTGCCTTTGAAAAGTGGTCCCTGAACACTTTACTTTTTGTCTTAACTTCAATTTACAGGATAGGAAAAAGTGGAAGGAGCTGAGATTACTCCTTTGTGCCGTCTATGTTTTTTCTGAGTGCTTTCAAGCAGATTGGACTATGGGAGCTATTTTCACAGCATTCTCTGAAGAAATTCAGATAAGCAAAAGACATTTCAATTTTAGGCTGTGAAATCAATATGGGCAGATTTTCGATTAGAATGGATACCATCTAAAAGACCAGTGGTCACCAAACCATGGCTCGTGGGCCAAATCCATCCCGTTGCCTGTTTTTGTATAGCCCACGAGCTAAGAATGGTGTTCATACTTTTAAATGGTTGAAAAGACTCTCACGATGAATAATATTTCATGACATGAAAATTACATGAAATTCAAATTTGAGGGTTCGTAAATATTTATTGACACACAAGCCTGTCCCATCATTTACATATCATCTGTGGCTGCTTTTGTGCTTAGTGGCAGAGCTGAATTATTGCACAGAAAAACCGTACGGCCCACAAAGCTGGAAATATTTACTAATCGGGCCCTTTACAGGAAAAGCTTGCCCAACCCTCATTTATGCTAATCTTATTCATTATGTTAACCAGGGAAAGCAGTCAGCTGCAAGTTCACAAACATGTCTGATAGGCAAAAGTGTAATTTCATAAATCACTGGGTTTTTTTGTAGTACTCTGCAGGTCACTGGCAACCAAAATGAGGCTCCTAAGAAAGAGCAGAACACTGTAATTCCTCATCGCAAGTTGACCAAGGATGTGAATTAGAACAAAACCTGCTGTAGATGTATTTGGATCTAGCAATGCCCCTCAAATAGTGTCTCCCCATCTTTGCCTCGCCTAATACAGAGCTTTAGAGACCACAGTGTCGCCTGGAAAATCATGTTTCCTCAAACCACTAAATTTCATGCCATATTTTCATGCCAAAAAAAAAATGCATGAGATATAGTTTTAGGAACCAGAGCTCAAGAAAGCTCCTCACTTCTGTTGGTATTACGTAAACTCAAATTCTAATGTCACCACACTGCAGTTTGGAAAGAGCAGTTGACAGGCAAATTGTAACTGCTAGATCACTGCAGTGTCTACACCTGCCGAATTCACCTAAGAGGCTCGCTCAGGTGGCTGGCAGAATTCTTTTCCTTGGGCTGTAGGAGTCATGGCGGTTTTGCTTCTTCAAAACCAGCAAAGAGGTTAAGACTAGAGTGAGTCTGCCCACAGTCTTACACAATATAAGGAAATCAGAGGCATGCCAGCCCACCCATCACCTCTACCGCATTCTACTGCTTAGAAACAAATCTCTCCCCAGGAGGAGGTTACACCAGGGTGTGAATGCGAGCGTGGAAACCCAAGGCAGACCCAGCTCCAGACAGCTGACGCGCACCTGGGTGAGGGTGGGTGGGGGTGGCAGGCAAAATTCTAAGAGGGCCCCCAGTGGCACACACCTTGTGTAATCTCTCCCCTGAGTGTGGGTGGGAGCTGTGACTGTGATGAAATCGTCACTCTGGTGACTACACTCCGTCAGAGCCAGGAGACCCTGCTGGTGACCCTGAAGAAGCCAGCTGCCATCCTGTGAGATCATGGGTCATGTGGCAAGGACATGAGGGCAGCCTCTACGACTGAGGGGGGTCCCCAGTCAACAGCTAGGGAAAAACCAACGACCTCAATCGTACAACTGCAAGGAGACAAATTCCACCCAAACCAGTGGCCTGGAAGAGGCCTCAGTCAGAGGGGAGCCCCAACCCCAGCTGACACCTGGATTTCAGACTGGCAAGACCCTGAGCAGGGGCGCCCCCTGCCTGTACACATACTCCGGACCCACAGAAACTGTGAGATAATAAAAGGTGTTGGTTGTCTTAAGCCACCAAGTTTGTGGTCATTTATTACATAGCAAAAAAAAAATCGATATGGCAGCGTATCCACACACAAAATCTTTCCATGTGCTGTTTCTGATGCCTAGGACGACACGTCCACCTTCCCTCTGACCTAGTCACCTGGCCTCCGAACCCGGGAAATGGGACCGAAGGAATATCGGCAGAGGATCAAGAAGGGGGTGCCCCGCTCCTTGAAGCCAGCGGTTACAAGCTGTTGGCTGGGAGACCAAACCTCCCCCACCCCGTCATGTTTGTTTGTCCCACAGTCGTTTTTTTTTTTAAACGATTTTGAAATAATTGCAGAGTCAGAGAAGTAGCAAAGGATGTAGTCATCTCCTCTTAGCACGGTTTTGCTTCCCATGGGTTTAGTTACCCACAGTCACCTGCAGCCTGAAAGTATTAAATGGAAAATTCCAGAAGTGAACAATTCATAAGTTTTAAGCTGCATGCGTTCTGAGTAGCGTGATGAAATCTCGCAACATCCCACCTGGGACTTGACTAATCCGTGTGTCCCGCGTGTTTACGCTGTAGACGCTCCCCGCCTGCTAGCCGTGCAGCAGCCCTCTTCGTTATCAGATGCACTGTCGGGTATCGAGGTACTTATGTCCACATCACCCTTATTTTACCCCATAACAGCCCCAAAGCACAGTCATAGTGATGCTGGTGATTCAGACCTGCCACGGAGAAGCCGTGTAGTGCTTGCTTTAAGGGAAAAGGTGAAAGTTCTTGACTTAATAAGGAAAGAAAAAAATCGTACGCCGAGGTTGCTAAGATCTACGGTCAGAAGGAACCTTCTGTCCGTGAAATTGTGAAGACGGGAAAAGAAATTTGTGCTGGTTTTGAGGTCGCACCTTGAACTGCAAACGCCCCTGATCACACAGGTGTGTCATCTCACCAAGAAGGGTGAGTGCAGGACAATTAGATATTTGGAGAGAGAGACCACATCCACATAACTTTTATTACAGTATATTGTTATAATTGTTCTATTTTATTATTAGTTGTTTTTAACCTCTTACTGTGCTAATTTATAAATTAAATCTTATCATAGGTATGTGTGTATAGGAAAAAACAGTATGCATAAGGCTCCCGTACTATCTGTGGTTTCAGGCATCCACTGGGGTCTTGGAGCCTGTCTCCTGTGGATAAGGGGGGCGACTGCACAGAGAATCTCCTGTACCCTTTCCCCAGCTTCCTGCAGTGGTCACACCTTACTTAATTATGGCACAATACCCCAACCAGGAAACCGACATTGGAACAACATATTTAAAGAGTTTTATGCCATTTCATCTCGCATGTCAATTCCTGTAACCACAAGCACAGTCAAGGTACAGGACAAATCCATCGCCACGGAGACCCCCATCACACTCCCCCCCCTAGAGTCCTCCCCCACCACCCCCAGCCCCTGGCATCCACTAACCTGTTCCCCGTCTCTATGACCTTGTCATTTTAACAATATTATATGGGCGGAACCATACAGCGTGTGACCTTTGAGATCAGCGTGTTTCATTCAGCATAATGCCCTTGAAATCTGTCCAAGTATAATATTAGTTTTATGTACCAACACTTCGGGCCTGTCTATTGCTGAGTACATTGAATCATCCACCTACTGAGGGACAGCTTGGCATTTGCCAGGTGTTGGCTATTACGGCTAAAGGTGCTATGAAGAATTGGGCACAAGTTTTTGTGGGCACATCCATTTTCATTTCTCCAGGATAAAAGCCCAGAAGTGTGATGGCTGGGTCATATGGGAAATGTGTGTTTTGGCTCCCAGTAATTTTTTTTTTAAAGATTTTTATTGGGGTATTGGGGGGATGGGAACAGCGCTGGGGAATTAGGGGAAGGGGAACAGACAAGTTACTGTCCTTTTGCTCTTCAGTCTAGGTGTGGAGGACGTCGCTTCACTGGCCCATGTTGGTATTGTCATTGTGCTCTTCCTGGCTGAGGCAGATTGGTTGCTGGCCATTGGACGGCTGCTCACGAAAGCTCATGTCCACTGCCAGCCAGCCTCACTGCAGCCTACGCCATCGCCAGCGGCAGCCCAGCTCCAGGTCGAGCTGTTGTTCACCATCTTAGCTGTAGAGGGCGCAGCATCACTGGCCCTCATGTGGGATCCGAACCGGGGCCCTGCTGCTCAGAGCTGGCATCCCAAGCCAACTCCTAATCAACGCACCACGTGGCTGGCCCTAATTTTTTTTAAATTGTGGACTAATGGCCAACACTTCACAATGAGATTTCACATTGTAGTTTAGTGAGGGAGATGCAGGAAACCAAGAAGTCCC